CTTCTAAGATTACTTCTCACACATGGCAAAAGATTTTATCTTAACCAATAAAATAAATGTATTCCTACTGTGAAGAAAAGAATCAGTATCCTTAAATTAACAGCAGCTATAGACTACTTTGCTGTACATCAATAGACAACTGCACTAATAAAGTATTTAAATACTGGCAGACTAAAACCTTCACAATTTTTGAAAGTATTATGCCTTAATAGATAACAACAAGGAAATAGTAATGAAACAATTCTGCTTACTAACAAGGTGGCAATGTCCCATTCCATTCATTATACTGTCAACTCCTAATCCATCTCTTTTGCAGAATCTCTGTCTGGCTTTAGTCAGGATATACAAAATCCTGCTGATATCAATTTCTTAGACTCTTTTAATCCCTGAAATTGATTTTGTTCTCTTAATATTAATGCCTTAGGAAGCAATCTTGATGAAACACGAGAAATTAGAAATAGCTTGCTATAGAGGTGAATTGTCAACATTATATCCCTTTATATGTTCCTGTTAAATACTGTGCCCTAACCTGCCTAATCACTTAACAATTAAATGAATGTTGTGGTACTTAAAGGCATAATGCCTTTGTAGGAATTTAGAAAGTTTTGTTGACTTTGTTCCTTTTTATTTGAATTTCTCTTCCTTCTCTTGTGTTTTTTTTCCTCAATTAAACAACATTATGCCACCTTGATTTTCCCCAATTAATAAGACCCAATACTTCTTTTTCTGAGCTTTATAAACCTCTAGGAATAACTCACTGATTCAGGCGGTAAACATCCTAGAGTGCTCCAGAAACTGCATTTGGTCCTCACACCATGCCACACCACTTCTAATACTATGCCATTCTGGGATCAGTTCCTTGAAGTATAGTAAATTCTGCAAACTGCCAATGTTTTGGGTACACCTAGGCCANAAAAAACAACTTTTATCGAATTTTGGGTAATCTGTCAACATTTGGAAATCACTGCTCCAACTCCAAGTAGATTTCTCTGCCCTCCCCTCTCATACCCTATTTAGATAACACCCCATTAAAATAAAGGAAAGGAACACTGGCATAAAACATCATAGCAAAAATAATCCCAGAAAACACGGAGTCAGACCCATCCGTGTTTGTTTAAATCTTGCAGAAGAACTAAAACTCAGATTGATTGTTGTTGTATTTCAAGTGGGAAGAGAGAGTGATTGATTTTGACAAATATATACAGAAACCACCAATAAATAAACAATGCCCGGTTCAGTATCCTGATTTATTTTCTGGACACTGCATAGAGAACAATAATCTGCAGCGTTTAAAGCTAGACATGTGTTTCAATGTATTGTCAAAAAGGCTCATCATCTTCCTCAGATAAAATAATGGAACTTTGGTCATTTCAGACCACTGTAAAGCAGAATTAAATTAATAAAATCTCTCTTCTCTTACTTTTGGAAATTCCGTGGCCTGTTCTCCTTTCTTGATCAAAGGCCTAGAGAAAACTTGGTATCAAAAGAAAGAGTCAAGATGACAGGTATGAAAGGAACTTAAGAAACAAAGTGCCAATGAAGAAATTTTGAGGAAGAAGCTAGCTAGTGACCAGAAGGAAAGGGGCATGATATCAACGTATCTCAGAAGGAAGGAAAAAGATCATACTTCAGTCCAAAATAACAGGTAGCAAGGTATTATTAATTTTATATGTCTTGAAGCTGTGGTGTCAATTTAAGGAGGGGAATGACACTTTAATATTAGTCTTATTACTAATCACTTGTTTGTTTAACTCATCGGCTGGGTTCTGGGTAGAGATGGAAAAAAGGATAAACATTGAAATTATATTAAAATAAAAGTAGAACAGGTTTGCAAGGATCAAGATGTTCATCATGCCATATATCAGTTCCACATATGAGATCATAGGATTTATAAAGGAAGCAGGATATTCTAATTAAATTCACTTCATCCATAGCATACATTACTGTATATACACAGTAATAAGCATCTACAGCCCAATCAGAACTTCCCTTATATTGTATAGAAATAATTAAAATGCTTACTTTTTTTTTCATTTTTCAGAGCATGCAAAATTAAATTAAAACATCACACCTGTTTTTTATTATGATTTAAAGATTCTTATACTAGCATAATATTATCTACAACTAAACATTTGCTTGCTTGCTTGCTTGTATTCCAATATCTATATCTGAAAAATAATTCAGAATAAAGGCTCGGCAATTGACAAACATATATTCAAATTTTACACTTACCAGCATTTTGAAAATTAATTGAGCCAATAAAAAGAATCACCCTCTTTACTATTTATTTTTGATCTGTAGGTTTAGCATAATTATCAAACATATTTTATTTAGCATTTTTACTTGGATATTAATAACTGAGGTATATTAATATTGCTAAATATTGCTAAATTATGCTAAGGTATATTAATAACTTAGGATAATTTTAGTTAAATATTAATACCTTTCAAAGTTCAAATTGGGCACTACATATCACAATAAAATTTCTGTGGTTAATATATTTGGATACATTTCAAGATATTTTAGGTAAATGTAAAGCACATATGTGCTAGTCGTTCCCAACTCTAGGGGTGCTCATCTCCATTTCAAAGCCAAAGAGCCAGCGCTGTCCAGAGACATTTCTGTGGTCACGTGGCCAGCATGACTAAACTCTAAAGGCACACAGAAGGCTGTTACCTTCCCACCAAAGGTGGTCCCTATTTTTCTACTTGTATTTTTTACGTGCTTTTGAACTGCTAGCTTGGCAGAAGATGGGACAAGTAATGGGAGCTCACTCCATTACACAGCGCTAGGGATTTGAACTGCCGAACTGCCGACTTTTCTGATCGACAAGTTCAGTGTCTTAGTCCCTTTTTATAAATACATACATTTGAAAAACACACACACACACACACACACACACACACATAAATATATGCTCATTAAAAAACCATAATTGCTTGCAGATTTATTTCGGCAATATGCTCAAAATCAAATGAGTACGTCTCTACAATATGCCCCTTTTGGTGTCTAAGAATGATAATTAACATTTCTTTGGGGAAGGGCTAAGAACTACAAAGTGGAAGGAGACACATTACACATGGGCAAGGCTGGGTTTGGGAGATTTTTCTTGATTTGTGCTATTTTAACATAAATCTGTAGTTTTCAGGTATTTTCCACCTAAATTATTATCAATTTTCAGCAGTCATGGTATGAGTTTCCAGATACAGATAATTGATTACTGGAGTAATAAGTGAAATGGTTTTCAGGTTATTTTGTTCTCCAAAGCACCTTCCACATTCCTCCATGGACCATCATACAACAATGGTAGATTGGACATGCTCTCCGCCAATGTTTCTCAATCTTGGCAACTGTAAGCTGTAATGGACCTCACTTCCCATAACTCCTCAGCTAGAATTTTCAAGAGTGAAAAACACTGCTCTAAGCCCAGATCCCAGGCACACTTTCTGTCTCTGATTCCAATATCCTTACATTATTGTACTTATCTGCAGCAAAGAAGCTATATACATGCAGAACCTTAGACTTATTCCATAATGTTTGTATGAATGAAATATAAGCTGTTTTAATGACCTAACTACCAATTTATTCCTAATATATCCCTGAAACGGTCAATACTTCTCTTTAAGTCTTGATGATGAAATAGTTCATAGGATCCACTTTTTTGTGTGGGCATCATCCTGCCACAGAGAACACCATAAATAAATAACTGTAATAGCCTATTTGCCACTCTAACTTCAAGAAACCCAACAAAATTAGCACTATTTAGATTCTAATTTCTGAAGATAGTTAAAAATATATACACATAAGTAGTACTGTACTGCAACTTTTTTTAAAAAAGGGAAGTAATAAATTCCCACCATTATTGATCTAATTTTTACAGACTCAAACATTTAAAAATCGCTATTTCAAAAATACGCATGCACATAGTATGCAAATGAAACACAAATGTACATATTCTACAGTGCAAATCGAAAAACAATTATTAACAATTAACAATTACAGTTTTGTTTAGCTTTAACTTGTACACTTGACTTTCTCCCTTTTCTCAATAAGGCAAGTCACAGATAATGACTTCTACTGTGTACTGTAGTAACAGAATATGTGAATCTACCTCTGAAACACAAACATTTCTGGAATGCTTCATTTACTATGTGTTATTTCACTGAACATTCTTAAATACATTTATTTGGAAATAAGCTTCTAAGTGCTTTAAAATAGACGAATGAACAGCATGAGCCTATGAACATTTATCTAGCTCTAAAATCAATATGATATAATGCTAAATAAATATGAAAAGGTTTTTAGCTTTATAACCTTCATCTAATGCTTATTTACTTAAAAGTGCATCCCACTGGGTTCAATTATTCATTATTTATTTAAATCATTTTCTATGTTAAAAACATCTCACTGGTTTATGACAGACAGAAACCCAAGGGATTATAGTCACATAGTCCAATCAGATATATTTCTACTAAAAAGAAATCATTGAATTCCATAGGGCTTCCTCTCTGGTAAGTAGTATTAAAATGACTGATTGTAACCTTAAACAGGATTTCCTAGGGAATGAGTCCTATAAAATGTATTGCGCTTTAAACTCACATTGAACAGATTAAGATCATACAGGTTCAAGGCCCTACCACACATTACAGGCAATAAGATTTGTTTTGCTGTATTTTGTTTATGATACTCCTTAACCATTATTGTGCAATGTTATCCATGCCCATCCAGAAATAACTCAGTGAAATAAAGGGACTTCCTTTTCAGGAACGGAGCAGGAGATAAGAAATTACCTAGCATAATGAATATTTTCCCTAATCTTTTGATTATATTAACTTGTCTGTACAGTATTCTATTCCTGAGTGTTTCGCCAATAAAATAATCAAAGGAACAGTGAGAACACATTGTTCAATATCTGGCAATACTGAATATGCATCTATACATACTACATAAAAGCAGTGTCAAACTGTTTTAGAATATTTTTAGATGTTCTTCTCATTTACCTGGTGGGCAGTTGCATTCTGAAGAAGCTTCTCTTATGGTTCTGATTTTTGCCATATGTTCATAGGTCTTCTATAGGGAAGAAAAAGAACATCTGAAAAACATTCCTTTGCAGTAAAAACTGAATGAGAGAACTAGTGTCAAATCTGTCCTACAGTATTTATAAGGAGTAAATGTACAATGAACTGATATTTATTAGCCCATTTAATTTTCATTGTTTCTAGTTTCTGTATGTTAATCAATTGATCACTTGCTCACTGTAATCATAACCGCAGCTTAAATCAGAACTGAAACAAGCATATATTTCCAGATGTTCTTAAAGTCCCACTCTTTCATCTGTAATGATTGGCTATCCTGACAGAGAATATGATGAGCAATAGAGTTTAACAACTTCTGGAGTCACACCTATTGCTGTCCCTGATTTAAATATCAGACATAAACTCAAAAAAAAAAAGCAGCATCCATGTCCCCTTGTGCTATCTCTTATGAATGAAAACAATTGCTTATCTTTCAGAGGATTTTGCTTGGGCAAAAATCTGAAAATTAGAGATTAAAAGCAATGAATATTTTGTATATGCAGGTCAACTGTTTCCACATTTATAGAAATTGCTCCTGGCAATTGAATTCTAATTGCTGCTCCCAAGCAATCTCCTGGACTGGTCCTGGCTGCCCATCAAAACTTAAATATCTACTTTACAAACACATGCCTGTGTGGCACTCTCGTCAGCCATAATGCTAACCAAGTAACCCTCATGTAAGAGATGAGCTCTAGGGAGGGGTCAGCCTGGTCATCTCCTGCACATCGTAAGAAAACAAAATGCAGTTGGAAGAATGTCATTCTGTACATGTAACATAGAGCCCTGCTAATGTTACTGCTGTCTCTTTTTTCAAGCTATTCCTGGAATGCAACAAATGCCCCATATTGCCTCTAGTTCATAGCAGTCCACTGAACACTATAATAACCCTTGTTTTAAAGAATTTTGTTGGGGCAACTGATAGCTACCACTTGTTTATTTAGTTTATACAACCGAGCACAATTCCCATGACCAGACTCCGGGCAGCATACTTGTTTGTAGATTCATGGCCCTTCTTTTCTTCTAAATTTTTGTGGGGCTGGGGGTGGTAGACGGTAATAATATCTTAAGAAAAAGTCCATATGAGCATAGGATACTCTTTGATATAACTGCTATTCTACAAAGGAACACTGCTAACAGAGAGAAGAACCTGTTCTGGCATTTTAAAAAAGATTAAAGTGCATTCTAACTTACATTGTCCTCAAATTAGTTAATATAGATAAAACCATTTTAGGGTAGTGATTAGAGGGCTGAACTAGGCTTTGGAAAACAGGTTTCAATCTTCAGTTAGCCGTGACATCAATGGGTCACATGGGGACAGCCATGGTTTTCTCACTTAATACTGAATGCCACATAAGGAAGATAAAGGTAAAGGTAAGGTTCCCCTTGCACATATGTGCTAGTCGTTTCTGGCTCTAGGGGGCGGTGCTCATCTCTGTTTCTAAACCAAGGAGCCAGCGCTGTCCGAAGATGTCTCCGTGGTCATGTGGCCGGCATGACTAAACGGCGAAGGTGCATGGAACGCTGTTACCAAAGGTGGTCCCTATTTTTCTACTTGCATTTTTACATGCTTACAAATTGCTAGGTTGGCAGAAGCTGGGACAAGTAACAGGAGCTCATTCCATTATNCCTTCCATGATCCCTTTCTGCCACTTACCGGTACATTTCATGGCTGAGTTTCTACTCCATGCTAAGCCATGTATTGATTTGTTTTTATTTACTTTCTCCTATTCAAATCAGATCTACTCTGATTGGCTTATATAGTCTGCAATGTTACCACTGAGTTAAGGATTATATCATTAAAAATGAGCAATAGCCCTTCACCTTATTATCACCTGTCCCAAATAAGGGTATCAGGCAGAGTTGCCTCCAGAATCGCTGAAGATGACATTTTCTAGAAATTGAAACTCACAGAAAACCCTTCTTCTCAATTTCACCAAATGTTGGGAGATACCCAAGCCCCTGAGCCATAAAGGCTTTAAAGGACCAACATATTTTATCTGATTGGTTAGGCTTATGCTTAGAGGAATTAATGAATCCAACTATTGCAAAATTTACAATGAGTTAATTGTAGTGTAATTGGAATATGTGTAATATTAGTGTAATAAGAATCAGGCTAGGATGGCTTGTTTAAAAAGCCATGGTAAAAATAAACCATGATTTAGGATGTTTGGAACCAAAACATATTGGACCTTAAACGCTAGTACTCCAGTTACCTTCAACACACACATCCCTTTCCATCTTTTATTCTATATTTACAACCCTGTTTATTTCCCCTTTCATTCTCTATGAATGGCATTCTACAAATGGATATACAAGTGCTGTCACTTTTCTTTTTAGTCCCAAAAACAGAAACTATTGTAAATATAGAATTTTATTAAAGTTTATGACAAGTTTTTAAAAATGCTATAGTGGTTATACAAATTGCTTTTTGAACACCAGCATTCTAAAGAACTTAATATATTATCCTTGACTCTAAAATGAATATTTTAGAAAAAGTTACAGAAACTTTGAATAACTGTATAACATTCCACATTTGACAGTCTATAAAAGCTGTCTGTAAAGCTACTATGTGGTCACATAATAAGCTTCAGTACTTGCTGCAGGATGACTCACTCTGTATTTGAGGGTTTAAATCTTCTTCTGAAATTGTCTGTAAACCTCAAGAAACCATAACGTTCCTCCTGGAAATCTGCACATTTTCTGCCCCACCTTCTGGACCATATAAAGGAATAATTATTTCATTAAATGCAAGATGAGCTATTTGCATAACTATTTGAATAGAAATCGGGAAGTGTTCAGTTAATAGGTTCAGTACCATCAGAAATAGTTGACTAGGTGACTCAGTGGCTAAGACACTGAACTTGTCACTCAGAAAGGTCGGCAGTTCAGTGGTTCAAATCCCTAGTACAGGTCTCCTGCATGAGCAGGGTATTGGACTAGATGACCTCCAAGATCCCTGTTACTATTAGTTCTTAGAATGTAATAATTTCATTTAAAAGAGAGTCCAAGGCCTTGACTTCGGCAAGATTAGTACACTGGTATTAACTAGTACATATTTTCACATTTGTGATATTACCCTACTTTAAATTACACTTCTATTTTTAAAAAAATAGGAATTCATCTAAGGCTCAAAATATGATCCTGAGTAAATTTTGTACAGAGTAAATGCTAGTAAAATGATAATGCATCAAATTGT